AAGACACAGGTGACCCCCCTTCCCAACGAAATCTTCGAGCCAACAAACATAGAAACTTTCAATCGATAAAGGTTGAAGCTTTCAATCCCTCTCGTTCTTCGAGTTCGGAAGCGCCCTCGCTTGGGACACCACTCCAATTCCTTATGCGCTGCATCTGGAACCTAAGGCTGGCCAGGAAGGCCAGAGAAAGAAGCAGCGCGACGGCAGCAGTCGGAACTTCGAGGCCTGCCGGGACTCGGGACCAAGGCTGCCAGCTGCCAGCATGGAGAGAGCCTTGCCTGGGGGCAGCTGCTGGAAGAGGGTGGAGACCTGAACAAACCGGAGCTGACCGGCCTGAAGCCGTTAAACATGTTTCTAAACACTTTTCTGAACTGCAGCTCTTGGCGCTGCGAACTCTAAGGCGCGCCTTCACCCCCGGCACGCCACCAGATGGGCTGAGGACCGCCGCGAGCAGAGAGGCGAAGAGGTGGCCCTGGTCTTATACGGTTTCTTTAACTGAGAGAAAGATCCATTTAAAGAAGTCCGCCGTTCATCTAGCTGTCGACCCATGTGCTGTTTTAGAATACTTTAGAATACATGTATGATAGTTATGAAAGAAGCGATCGTGGTAACCACCTCGATACCACAAAAGCAACACTTGACCTCCATGTCAAGCACTGAAGCGCTCATAGCTGCAACACCGCACATCGAACAAGTGTCATGCTGGCCAATGAACCACAAGCTTGTCCGATACAAGATCACAAGCGAGTCCCTTGCATCCTGGATCGCTGTTGCGCACAGCTCCTGCAGCAACCTCGTACAGGGTGCAACATGCGTTTGCCATGGTTTTCAAACGAGAACAAACCTGCAAGGTCACAGAGTCGCTGAGAAAGAAAGCTAGTCCCAAGAGCCCAGGGCCGCCACTCTTGCTCCTTTTCTTCCGGGAGCCTGGCCTCGACCAGAGCACATGACCGAGAGTTGCTGTCTGCCCGTGCTTGACATTGCTCTATGTATATATTCACATGACGGACTTGCCTAGATACATAGATAAATACGCATATGCTCATGAATGTATCTCAGTTGCACTCCTACGTACCTGCACATCTAAGTGCATACATTCAAACATACAGACTTGTCGGAATTCATACCTACCAGGTTACCTACCTACATACCTAGATGCGTACACACGTCCATACATCCAGACATCCACGCATAAATGCATCCATACATCCGTTCATCCATACATGCGTACATACATTCCATAACTTACATACTTACACGCATTACGCACACTACTTACATTGCATACATTAAATACATTACATACATTAACGATATTACGTAGGACTCAATGCTCGCTGTTGCTGCAGTCTCGTTGAAGCCTCCCCTGCCGTTCTCCCCACACTGTGAGTGTGCGCTAGTGCTAGTGTTAAAGTGCGGAGGGAGAGAGCGAGACAGCCAAGCATGGACAGGGAGAGAAGCTAAGAAAGGTGGGGGATGGGCTAGAATCGGTTAAGGCAGAGATTGAATTAACAAGAAGAAACCACGTGAGGAACAAGAAATAAAGACAAATGAAAGGAAAAACATTTGATTGAACATCAGCAGCAGTACACGGTGATTTCCTTCGGACGTAATCGGCCTTAAAGTGAGCTCCCTGACCGATGGCTCTTCCCATGAAAACAACGGTTGTCGTCTGCACTCCGTTGATTCCCCCGATGTGCCTCAGTCAGCACGTCTAGGGCTCCCTGAACGCTCCCGATCTCAAAGAGCTGCAAGTGGAAAGCCTCTGCAAGACGTCAGCACGACAGGACAAAGTCAAAGGGCAGTTAAATTCTGCAGCGCGCCTGCTCCGGATGGCCGAGCCTCAGGGCTTGAAATGTCACTCTCAGCCTCACTCGCATGCACTCGCAGTCTCCGGGTGCCGGCACGCCAGCAGCGCAGAGGCCGCCTCCCTGGAGCCGGACGCCCAGGCTGCCTCCGACGAGAAATCGGCTGAAGCTCAAGGGTGGCCTGCAAGCCTTCGACCCGGGCCCCAGTTCATAACAACTCCAGAAGGATGCGCTCTCGCGCAGGACAGCCATGGTCTTGCTTTGACTTTGAAGCCTCTCAAACCCTCACAGACGAGATGGCGATGAATCAGTGAGGTTAAACTCTAAGACTCTAAAAGACAACGAGTGATGACTAGCAACCGACGGAGTGGTTCAAGCAGTCCGTCACTTTGTTGGTGCAGGTTTGCAGTCAGGACTCGACAGCTTACCACCAGAACGATTTCTGGAGTTTGGTATGCCATGATCTCCGAGTATCTCCAATCTCAAAAGTTCTTAGCCCAGAATAGAAACCTCCAAACCGCGGCACATACTCTTGTCAAAGGAGACAGGGAAGTGTTTTTCTAAGGTCCAAGTAGCAAGTGCCAGAACCGTTAAAGCAGCGATGGGTGACGAAGCTGCAAGCTGAGGCTGCAGAAGCAGCCCCCGAGCGAACGAGGTCAAGCGGAAAGTATGCCGTCACTTCAACAAACCCGAGATTGGAAGAATAGCAGGCATGCAGGTTTAAGACGCTGCAGCGGCCTGTCGGCAGAGTTCGGGAGACTGTGGCCTGCTGACCTAGTGAGTGATGCGCCTCCAACCACGTGCCATGGACCGAAGAAGTAGAAGAGGACTCCTCGAGAATTTCGCAGACCCGCGCTAACCCAAGCTTCTGCTGCGGAGAATCGTCTGTGACACATGCCTGTCCAAGACATGCCGCTGTCCTCTTTCTCATCGGAGGCAGACTGCATGAGCGCTGGCCTATCAAGCATTGCAAACAGGTGCCAGGATGCTTGGGACGTGAAAAGACAGAATGGACTCAGCGCAGCGGCGCAAAGCGACGCCTTTGCTGTTTTGGGCAGGGCTTCAGCCTCTTCTCGCATCTTGGCTCTTTGGCGCTGCGCTCAGGGGCGCAGCCCTGGCCTCCCACCAGGGTAGCCGGTCGTCTGCCAGGGCAGCCGCGATGTTCGGCGGTTGGTGCGGCAACTCGAAATCATGCAAGGCTGCACCGGATGTATAGGTCGAGGGGTCATGGGAAAGGTGGCCCAAGGATGACAGGGCAGAGACAGACGACAGAGCTCGATCCGTCTCGAAACTGAGGAACGTCGAGGAGCTATAAACAGAGCTAGATATCGCAGAGTGCCGAAGAAGCTGCAGCGAGTCGGCCAGCCGGTCTCTTACAAACTCAACACCGTCGCTGAAGTCAGCGGCATAGTGCTGTTGCATCTTGAGCAAACAGAGCACCACACGGGGTGCAAACTCAGGAAACTTTGTCCCAAGCTTCGTCAACGAGGCAATGATGACGGCAACGAAGCGTGGCGAGAAAATTGCCTCGCCTGCAAACTCCACCTTGACGACCTCGGGTGCTGCGGGAACACCCTCGTCGGTGCCCTCGTCGTCAGGGCCCTGTTGGCCTTTCTCAGGCTCCCGGCTTTCCACCTTGGGCTCCTTCTTTTCCTCCTCGGGCTCCGAAGCTGGCGTGATGGAGATGGCTTGGTAGGCAAGGGTCTCCAAGGCCTCGAAAAACATTGCCACACCGGCTCGTCCCCCATTCTCGTACAATGGTGGCCGCAGCAACTCTCCAATGATCCAGCAGAGATGGAGCACCAACAGCCGCCCTTGCACATCCAAGTGGGTGGAGATAGCATGAACCACCTCACGCTTCAGGGACATGAGGAAAGCCGGCCATTGCTGGAAAATAGCCTGCAGCGTGTCTATGATGAGAGTGTGCACAGAATTCAGGAAGAAGTCCACCGGATAGAGTGATGCAAAACGCTGCAGTAACAGCGGCACCACCCTTTCTATGCACTCCGGCGGCGCATTGTTGAGCAACACATCGAAATACACTCTCAAAAACCGGGGCACCAGCTTACAGACGCTTGACACGCGAGGTGTCACGGGCAAGGAGTTCCACAAGACGCGGATCATGCTAAGCTGCGCCTCATCACGAGCTTCCCAGATGCACACACCACCGGCTTGATTCCGCATGATGTACTGGTGTACAGTCTTGAAGGGTGGCGACATCCTGTCGAGACCCAAACGCATCATCTGCGCGTCAGCGTGGGGCTCGTCCGGCCTCTCGTACTGCTCCATGAAAGCTGCCGTCAGTGGAAGGTCCAGCAGAGTATGGAAAAGCTCTGCGAAGGAGCTGGGGCCCACCATTGCTGGAACGATGGGCAAGACCTCCTCTGCCAGTGTCCGGGGATGCCAGACCAGCAGCTTAATGATGGCCGGGTAATATTTCGGGAACACGGGGGTATGTAACAACATCTTGGAGGTGTTCGTCGTCAGGAATAGGAGGGTGCTCATTGCCAACAGCTGCTGCCTGTATCGCACGGACACGTAGTCCTCGAAGAAGTGGTGCAGCACGGGGTCCACATCAAAGATTACGTGCTGTCCATGATTCACAAAGAACTGCAAGACGGCAGCAAACACAACTCCACTTTGCCTGTTGGCGGTCCGCTCGTAAACTTTCTTGACAGCCGGGAAGATTCGAGTTACCAGCGATGGATCCATTAAGCACAACAGATCGAGTATGCGCACAGCTTCCATGGAGACACCCTCAATAAACTCCTTCATCCAATCCAGCTCTGAAATGACATATCGAGCACCCAGCCGCATCTGCTGTGGGCCGTCACGGACAATGTCCAGCTCAACCTGCGACAAAATTCGCAGGCAGATGCTTATGACCACCTCCCGAAACTCTTCGTCCAAGGTGAAATGCCCGATCAAAGAGCTTTTGTTTGTGGCCTCCCTAGGCCTCGGCTCTGTGGGTATCCTGGCATCGTGCACCAGGCCATAATGCTCCAACTTCGAAACGATGTCATCTCTGCTTTGCCGCTTCCTAATTTCTAGGAGCTGTGCCTGGTAAAGGTAGAACAACCAACAATACAAAGAGCTAAAGACGCTGACATTCAGGAGCTGATCCTCTGAGTAGTCGTAGGAATTATTCATGCAAGTGAAGAAATCACGAGTGGGCGTGCCATCAACTTCGGTCACATTGCAAGACGCAGATGACGAAACTATCCTCATCCCGAAAAGGGTGGTGGACGTGGTCTTCCGCGTCTCCAATGATGCACCTGTCAGCAGCTTGCAGAACTGTGCCTCCATGGGCCGGATATGCTGATCCTGATCCAACACGTTTGGAAATCGCTGTACAGCTGCCAGAAGGTTTGTCAATGCTGCAGTCTTGAGACCGATGCTGGCAGACTCGCTGGTAAACCACGTAACCAGATTTGGAATGTTCTTTACCAGAAGGTCTGCATTGAGCAGCTGCGACAGCACAGGCAGAAAGTACACCACTTTGTTGTGATCATAGTGATCGAAGTTGCCCCCAAAATTGTCGCGGAAGAAGTATGGCACCTCACCGGAGGACAGCTCGCGGACAAGTGCGGAGCTTAGGATTCGAATCCTGGGCGGAGCAAATCCGCTGTCTCCGACTAGGAGGGCAAAGAGCTCCTGAAGCACTCTGTGAGTCACCTCGCTTAGCTTCCTCAAAGGAGCGTTGCCAGCTGCCCCGCCCCCTGTTCCCGGTGTTGGCTGATGTAAGGAGGCCGTGACGTAGTGAAAGGCCTTGCGCATGAGCTGGTGCTGCTCTGACTTGCTGTCGCGCGTCTGAGACTTGAGCTCCTGGTGTAGTCGACCCAGGATGGTAGCGACATCGCTTTGCCCGATCCGCTCCATCAGCCACAGGCAACATGCCGACGCGTTCGGCAATATGAAGTCTCTCAACAAGGGTTTATTCTATGGTATCTGGCAGTGTGCAGCTTCATGCACATGTACAACCTGTGCGACAGTAAGCACAGAGCATGCACGTGAGAACTTTGTGGGAGGTTGCATATACCTTCACGATCTCGTAAGCAGCACATCGGTTAGAAGACATAGACGATGACTTCGTAACTGAAAGACTGCATAGACGCTTCAGGGCTTCATGCCGCGCTCAACATGTCTGATTTCAATCATGCACATGTCTGAATGAAGCCTTGAAGAATTAGTGGCAGCGGATTTCACGAGAGGAAACGGGATCGGGCATAGCTCAGCAAAGAGCATGAGGCATGGCTGCACGAAATGGCCCTTGCCTCAGATGATGCGGCCGCAGTTCTGCCTGCTCACATGTGAGCCGCAAGGAAATGCTGGTGCTGCCGCTCATTGAAGCCACGTGAGGAGTCCGTCGAACTACAGACTCTGTAAACAGGCTGGCCATTTGCAATTTGATCTCTGGGAGTCTCAACCGCTGCTCCGGGGCCCGGACTGTTAGCTGCACCATTCGGTCTCGGAAGTGCTTGGCCGCATCTGGAGAGCGCCAAGCGAGAAGCCTGTGATCCATGAGTGGTTTCGGCATTTCATGGCTTTAGCCATTGCTTGCCAAATCTTCAAGCGCTGTTGCTGATGCGGCTAGCTGTATCGCAGACTTCACGACCCAGGCTATCAGAGTGCAGCACAACATGAACGACGCCTTGAGCAGCGCAGACCCTAAACCCTAAACAAACCCTAAACCCTAAACCCTAATCCCTAAACCCTAAACCCTAAAACCCTAAGACCCTGGGACCCTACTCCGTCGGCCTTAAGTACCGCAGCTCCCAGGCCGGGCCGTGTGGCGCCAGAGCTGCGAGCAGCTCCGCGGGTTTCAGGCTCTCCGGATGAAGGGCCTTGGAACACACGGCCCAAAGCTCGGAGTGCTTCGGAAGTTACTATTGTTGGGGGGGCTCCTTGTTATCATCATAGTGCATAGTGTATACCCCAAAAACCCTATTCCAGTTATTGAGTCCCCTGTGCTTTGTGCTTCAAGACCTGGCCAGAACTATCTAAGGTTTCCACTGAGCCCTGCACTGCCAAGTCGGCCATCTGGCCAGGATCCAGCGCAACGAGCCTTTTTCACAAATTCAAACTCCACAGAAACTCCAAAAGAAGCTGATCTCGTTTGTGATGCATCCAATGCTTCGCAGCTTGCATCTGTAGGCGAACAGGTTCTCCTGTAGTTGTGCCACTGCACATGCTGACAGTCACTGCTAGCTCCTTTTGCCGACCCCAACATCTGGGTACATCTGTAGCAACCCCGGTAACATGAGATGCTGTCAATGTGTTATTTTGCGCAATAATTGGAAACATGCAGTGCCTACAAGTCTGCTGTCATGAATCATCAAAAGTGCATGCAGGCACACACACACACACACAGACGCACGCCTGTGCCAACAAATGTGGAAAAGCACGGCTGTCAACAGACATAGCATTTATGCAAAAGTGGCAGTCAGAACATGTCAAGCCCACGCCACGGAGTTCGAGAATCCTTCTCAGGCCAAGAGCTTCATCCATACGCCTACACGTCCCCCTTGTCTCTTCCCGTCTTTCAGGATTTTCAAGGCCAGGCCACCGCGGCAGCACCGCCGAAACCGCCCCGAGGTCTGCACCTTCGCGGCTTCCGGCTTAGGTGAGCTTTGCTGAAGCTGTGAGCTTCGCCCACAAATACTTTCAGATCACATCAGATCAGCTAACATCTGAGACTTCACCGCCTTGGCCCAGGTGCCGCCGCAGCAGTGCAAAGACTCGTTGGCTGCCGGCAGCGGCTAGAAGCCGCAGGGCGGACGTCGCGTCGCCTGCAATGGTCAGGACGTTCAACATCTCGGGATTGGAAAAATTGCTCGACGCATTGCTTCAGTCAGATTGAACACTGCACCAAATTGCCAGCCCAGGTGCCCCTTGCTTCATGCAGCGATGCTAAAACCTCCGAAGCGCCAGACTCCTCAAAGCAGCCGGCCCAGCGCACCGTTCAGCGACGCAGCTGCGCAGCACTCATGGCACAGATTCTTCCAACACATGGTGGGTACTTGCATGAAAGCTGGCCAGTGCCCCCTGTCCTCGCAATTCTCCGCTTGCGGTTCCCAAGCAGGACCTCGTGAGTCGTGGGCTCAATGCTTGATTGCAAAACTGGGACTTCTCCTCCCCCACCGGAAAGTCCCCGCAGTCGGCCTTCCCCGCTTTCGATGCTGCCTTCAGGTCTGAGAGCCTTGGCAATACTGGAAAGAACCTGCAACATGATCAGAGTAGCAGAACCAAAGATTCAGAAAGGATCTGCAGGGACGGCTGTTTGCTCTAGCAGAAAGGCAGTAGTTTGAGACCACAGCTCTTTGAAGCGCAGCCATGAGAGGCCTCAGATTGCACCCACGTTCGACTCTCTTCAGTCTGCAGCTATCTGGGCTTCTCTGCCTAGCTACCTACCCAGCTATCCGTCCATCCGTCTGCAAGAGTCTTTCTGTATCCAGTTTGATCTCTCATTCAAGCCATGGCATGTGTAGTTTAAACAATAAATTGTGGCAAACCTTTCTAAAAGGCCTTGGGGACGACCTGATTGGCTTCCTTGTCCGTTTACGTGTCTGTCCACATATGGCACGCCGACCGAAGAAACAAAAAAACAAACATCACCGACGATTTCTTCTGCAAGACTACATGAACGAACCAAAATAGCTACAGACATGTTTCAAGCATGCATGCACGTACACATGGATACACGTACCTACGCGTGCATGCATGTGGCATATGTACGAAAAGTTGGCATCCCCGAAGCCCTCATGTCCCGTAGCCAACCCAGTGGAGAATGAGCAAACCTCGGTCGAAAGTTTGCCAACATCGTGCTTGCGGCGAAAGGGAACATGTGCACGTCGTCACGCATCTCACGGTAGCCCGACGGGGAGAGACGTCTCCATGATTGTCATGATGCCGGCGCGGAAGGCTTTATTGATGCCCATGATGCCCGCCCCTTGGATGCCGAAGGGCAGTGATGATGCTGGTTATGGACGGGGTGGACACGTGTGCTCCCGTAGTGCGCGCGTGTGCTCGTGTTCGCTCGTGCATATATGGATAAGTAGATAGATGGATAAGTAGATAGATAGATAAGTGGATAGATAGATTGATAGACAATTAAATAGATAGATAGATAAATAGGTAGATAAGCAGATAGGTAGATAAGTAGATGCAGTAGATAGATAGAACCCTTCACGATAGACACAGCAGATGGGTAGGTAGATAGATAAATAAATAAATAAATAGAGACATAGAGTAGAGTAGATAGAGGAGATAGATGAGATAATGTAGATACCACAGATAGAGTGGATCGAGGAGATAGATAAGATAGCTTAGATTGGTAGATAGATAGATAAGCAGATACACACAAAGTAGAGTAGATAGGGGAGATAGATGAGACAATGTAGAAACAAGTTCTACGACGTGAGACTCTTTTCCACTACCCGCGGAGTGGTGTGGTCTGCTAACCGGTCTCGTGCCAACCTGCTCAACTCTAAAGGGCGAACTGGTCGGTCCGCCGAAGTTCCACCCGAGCGCGGAACGACCATTCACTCGCGCTCTCACTGGGCAACCGGGTGCAACGCTAACGGGTTGACCAGCTTCTCGCAGAGGGGTTTGTCGGGACCCACAGGCTTTTCGGTGAGCTCGAACAGGAGCTCCCACGCTTTGTCAAACTCTGGGTCCGTTCTCTGGCAGCCTAACAAGTCGCGAGGTCCCCAGTCACCTTGGGACACTTTGTCAAGGAGAAGTTGGCCTGAGTGGTCACTCGCACAAAAACAATGTTAAGGCTCTTACTGGCTATCCGGCTATCCAGGACCAAAAACAGTCTAACAAGTTTGTTAAAGCTGGGTCCTTGGAGCAGCCCTTCCTCAGCGCGTGCTCACGGGCACTGTTGTCAACAAAGCAAAGCACGTCGCCTGACAGGAATTCAGCGGCGACCGCAAGGCATGCGATCTGGGCAACTGCTTCCTACCAAAACATGAACGCCTTGGTCGTCGCAGCTTTTGCTATCAGGTGGCTAAGCACTGACGACCTGTATGCCCATTTCAGTCCTGAGTTGCTAAAGAAAACGGCCTCAAATCCTTGTGACGACCCTCTGAGAGTCTCGAGGGGGGTCGTCTGTTGCAGCCATCGACGCGCTGCCTGACGTGTGCCTGCCAATGTAACAAAGGCGTCGGCGTGCAGCAAGTGGGGCCTGTGAGGCCGAGGGCACTTCTTCAGCGGAAAGCAGCGTGGCTTCAGTGACGGTAGCAAGTCAGGGCTGACTTCAAGGGAAGGTTCAACCTCTTCTGTGGGAACGGACAGTGCTGAAGGGAGTAAACTGACTTCAACAAGGCCATTCCGAAGACCCCTGAGCAGACAAAGTTAAGCTTGCCAGCCAAGTGCGCTGCCTCGTCTTGGCTAAGGGTGCCTGCTAACAGGGCCTTCCGGATCAACTGATCCAGCTTCTCGATCCTGCACTTATTGGGTCCTGCTGTGACGGGGTCTTTGAGGATTTCCCACACAGGCCCAGGTAGTGCACAGTTCTTGTTCGTTGCTCCCACCTCCCTCAGCCTGCAAGTGTGTGTTCCTGCCCCCTCTTCTGCTAGCGCCTCGTAAAGGGCAGGTGGAATGTGTGCTAGTTAGGTCGTGTGTGTCTGTGGGTGTGTGGCTGTGTACCGAACTGCAGTCACGCTACACAAGTCTACATGCACACAGTCATGTTGGTGCTGCGATGTGAACGCATTAACGGTGTTAGGTTTGTACACACCTGTCAGAAAACCACTTTCCCAGCGTTGCTCTTCCTCTCAAGTTCTTGGCACCGTTAGGTGCTTCAAGAAATCGTGTTGCGCCATGTGGACGGACCTCGTTCGCTCTGAACGGCACACTTTCCCCAGTCTGCTGGAGGTCTTACACGGCAGAAGCCGCGTGAAGTTTCTCCCACAGCTGCAGGAAGCCGGTGTCAAGTCAGCCTACGATAAAGAATCTGGCTCCAGGTCGGTTCTTGTGAGCATTGTTGGTGACGTTGCCAGTTCCGAGAAGCTGTTGAAAACGCTGTGCAGGGTAACCAGCTGTTAGTACACAACCCGAGATCTAAGTTGCGCCACCTCCGTTCCCAGTGAGTCATGGGTTACTTCGTGTGGGAAGTTGTGGTATGGCACTAGTTCTGCTTGTCGCAACCAATCAGTCCTGGCAGGATACACACGATGCTCCCTGTGCTTCCCTTTGCCCAGCCGCACAGCTGTTGAGAGTCAAGGCCCGGGAGTAGAGTCGAGCATCATGACGAGCCCTCCAGCTCTGCCAATTGCTTTGTCCTTGGTTGGTCCTGAGGCTGACGCCCGTCGAAGCCACCGAACAGGTCGTCCCTGACAAGTATCCAAGAAGAGGCCGGTGTCACTTTGCCAGGACCGGCCCCTGACGTTCTCGGTCTGCCTGGCGTCTTCTAACTGGGTGCACGGCGGGCATCGGTGTCTGCTGTGTGCCCTGCGGTAGCCACGAAGGTTGTACCGTGAGCACATTGCCCGGAAGCATCTGGGGACTGATCTGACAAGGGCATCCTGTGCTGCATCCCATGGGGCCACTTCATCAGGCCCAACACCATCGGGCAAGTCCCCAAAGATGGCTCCCACCAGAGCCTGTGCATCGCTCTAGGTAGTTTGCTCTCGTTGCTGTCGGTAGGCACTCAAACCTTCGGCCACTGACTGGCTCATGAGTCCAGCTAACCGGGCTCGGTGCGAGACAAGAAACTCGCCCAACGAGTCCATCAGCTCATCTTCTGTCGCCTCGCAGAGCAGCTGCAGTGCTGAACCATGGGACGAACTTGGCGTTGTCCAGACATGGCTCGGCACATCTGAAAAGCCGAAAAACTCGAGCTGCAACGGCTTCAGCAGCTGCTTCTTCCTAGCAGGTGTTTATGTACAGCTAACTGGTGACAAACACAAAAAACTTCCACACGCTGAACTTGTCACTGTGTGCACACACGCACTGCCCTACAACGAATAGAGTGGATAGAGGAGATAGATAAGATAGCTTGGATAGGTTAGAAAGAGTAAATAAGAATAGATAAGAATAGAGAGTGTAGACAGAGGAGACAGATTAGATAGATGACGTAAGATCGACAACATAGACAGACAGATAGATAGATAGATGGATACACAGATAGGTAGATAGATAGACAAATAGATCGATAGATCGATCGATAGATAGATAGATTAGATAGATAGGTGGATAGAGTTGGTAGAATAGACAGAAGAGATAGAATAATAGAGGAGATAGAGGAGACAGGGTAGATAGAATCAGTAGACAGGACAGATGAGATAGATTAGGTAGATAGGATAGTTAGCTAGCCAGTTAACTAGCAACCCAACCAGCCAGTCAGCCAGCGAGCCAGCGAGATGGACAGAGAGAGAGAGAGAGAGAGAGAGAGACAGAGACAGAGACAGAGAGGGAGAGAGAGATGCACATATATATATAGAGAGAGAAGGAGAGATAGAGATAGAGATGGAGATAGCGATAGAGGAGAAAGAGATAGAGATTGAGATGGAGATGGAGATCGAGGTGGAGGTGGACGTGGAGATAGAGATAGAGCTAGAGACAGAGACAGAGAGATAAGGAAATAGAGATAGAGATAGAGGCAGGGATTGAGATCGAGATGGAGGTGGACGTGGAGAGAGATAGAGACAGAGACAGAGAGACAGAGAGATAGAGAGATAGAGAGATAAAGAGATAGAGAGACAGAGAGATAGAGAGACAGAAACATAGAGACATAGAGACACACGTACATAGAGACGATATAGATACAGACATAAATGAGATCCAGATACAGATGCAGATGTAGATGAATGGATATGTGTGTATATTTATATACATACGTTACATACCGGCGTAGATGTGTACATGTGTGTGTGTTGCATGTATGGACGTGTACGTATGCATCAGTATGTGTAGCGTTCAAATATTATGTTATGCTACGTTGCATTTTGTTGTGTTACGGTATGTCATGCTTCAATAAAATGTGCAATGCATGCCATGCATAGCACACTTCTGTTCTATGTTACGCAGAGCCTACGTCAATGTCTGCATCATCTGTGCAAGTGCATAGTCAGCTTGGCGTCTTCGTCGGCTTCGTCGTCTTTGGCCACAGCCTCAAGGCTTCACATAGGGCTCCAGGTTTTGGAAGCTGAGCAGAATCCTCGGGCTGGCAGGCTGAAGGCCACAACTCCACGTCACTCTGCCTGCCTGCTTCTGTCCACTGTTCAAGCTCTGATGCCAAGAGTCCAGCTGCGCCAAACTATGCACAAAGTCCCCTGAGAGGGCAAAGCGCTGCGATATTCGCGCGAAGCGCACTCCCGATGGACCCCCGAGCCTCAGATCCATCTACCAGGATGCAGTGCATTCAAAGGAGACACGAGAGACACCCCAGCACGAAAAGCAAAATCCTTCCTCCCTCACCCAGCAGCTTTGAGTGAAACTCGGCCAGGAGTATGTCCTGACGAGCACAAACATGACCAGTCTTTTGCTTGCCCTTGCCGTACAAAAATACCCCACGAGCCGATGAACGATGACATCTTTTCTTGGGTTAGCTCAGGTAGGTCGGGTGCGACGGTTCAAAATCGCTTTTTTTGTCAACTGCTGTCAGTTCTCTGCAAAGCTCTGGGCCTGGCCTGGTCTCCGCCGATGAGCAGAGCATCGTCACTCAGCCAGCAAAGCTTCACAGAGCCTGGAGGCCGCGCGATGTAAGTGACCTCAAAAAACAGCTCAGAACGCAACCCCCAACGCCAGCGCCACTTTCATCTGACAGCTCCGAGCGGCTTTTTGGTAGGTCTCGACGTCCACGACCTTCACACCCTTGCTGTTGACCCATGCAACCAGCCCTCCACGCCAGCGGATGGCTGTAATCGGCCCCTGCAGGAACGAACTTTTGCAGACCCTGCGGTCGAAGTGCACTCATCACCCGCCAGCCTCTCCGTGGTGGAGGGTTGCATGCCGCGTCTCCTGAAAGCTAAAGGTTGAGACTTACCGGTCATGCAGAGGGCTTCATGCTGCTCAGCAGCGAGGGAGCCACCGCGGCTGAGGACAAGGCGACCCTCCTGCGGCGCGCAAGCAGAAAAAGAGAGAGCGAGAGAGGCTTCACGGCTAAGGAGGCCGTCCGAGTCCTCGCCACCGGAGCAGAGGACGCGCAAGCCTAGAGCTGCCTGAACGAAGTTGCCCACGAACGATCGCTTTCAACTCACGGCGTGGATCGTCGCGGGCCGCCTTGCCTCCGCGTATTGTGGGCAAATGGCCACAGTCAGCACCTGAGGCGGACAAGAGAACGGGGTGGAGTTGAAATTTTCGCGAGTGTCTTAGATTCTTGGGCGATTCTCCTTTTTTGGGGGGGCCTGGGCCTGACAGGAGCCTTTTTTGCGTCGAGGCATTGGGAAATTCCGAATTGCCGCAGAGCGCCAAGCCAGTGGGGAGTTCCATTTTGCAGGGTCTCTTAGTGTCTTGCGGCAAGCAACTCCAATTCGCAGGATCGGGCCTGGTTATCCCGTTCCCTCATGAGGCCAGACCGGTTGATCCCCTATCTCAAACACGACACCTCGCTCGGCCGTAGCGCTTGATCCTTAAACTCGGCCCTTTGTTTCGCGATGGTGGTTCAGCTCATTTCGTAAACCTGACCCTCATTTGGCGATGGCGGCTGTTTCCCATATCATATCTGAAACACTACCCCCTACTCGGCGATGGGGAAGAGTCCGGGAAACGTGAAACCAAAAGGTGCAATAAAGCACCTGTGCTCAGACTTCCAAGGAAAATTCTGGCTCTGAGGTCGTGGCAGGCTTTGGGAAGGTGCAAGTCCAGGAGGGGCCCCCTGAGATTCCATCCACGGCGACCTTCTTCGCTGCTGTTTTTCAGACGGGGGGAAGGCTCCGGCCATTCGCCAAGTTGTCCAGAAAGCTTTTGCGAGATACCGGGCAACCCCGCCGTCGAAAACCACACTAGGGTGGAACACAGGTACTGGGAGCAGCGTCATTCTCACGATGCTCGTGGATTACAGCCACCCTTGTGTTCTGCCCGAAAGATGATGCGCGGATGCATGAATCCGAAACTCTCAACGTCACAATGCATGGGCACCAGCAGACTCTCCAAAATCCCAGCTGCTGGAAATTGACATAGCGGCAGCCAGGTCACTGCTGCACCGGCCACGGAGGCCACATGCGTAGCCGAGTCGTTTAGCGAGACATCCGTGACCCTTCCGGGTCCCCTGACATTCTGTGTGGAGCGCTTCGGGGCTTCGGTCCTTTCGCAGAATCCACGAGTCTGTGATTTCATAGAGTAGGCCAGAGTGGGTCAGAGTTAGGTCTTCTCGCAGCAAACGGTTCCAGCTTAGGCTAGCAACCTAAAGATCCTGAAACCTCAGTGGTGCCTCAAGCTCTAACATCCGGCATCTGAAAAGTTCAACACACAGGAAGCGGCGCCTGCGCAGTTCGGAGGACTGCCAGACTCCACCCTCTCGGCGCCACAGGATCAAAGACCTTGCCCAGGCCGGTCTGCTGAAGGATCGATGCAAAGAGTAGTGCTGGCTGGCAATGAGCAACTGGTGCCTGTCGACGGCAGTCACGCAGATGGATCCGCGAAGCGCAGAGGGCCCAGAAGCCTGCCAAGAGACGGCTCGCATACGAGGCCCCGGTCCCGTTCCGGAGCCGCAATGGGCACTTCCAATCGACCGTAGCTTATCAAGATGCGTGGAGACACCAATCGAGCTCGGCGGTTGCCGCAAGCTATGAGCTGGCTCTTTCTGATTCGGGTGAAGCTATCGACTATCCTTTCCATGAAGGTTGCGTGAAGCCGTGCCTCTGCCTGAACTTCTAGTGTCGCAGCCTCTGGAGGGCTGCCAGCCTTCCCTGCCATCCATTGGCTTCAAACCTCATCGAACTTGACTTAAACAACTGCTGTGGGCACGCCGACGCACCAGCGGTCATACTTGAGTTCTCCGCGGACTGGCAGCTACCGCCGCGGCATGTGGGGCGACATCGCATGGTGTTCTGTCGAGCAAGCTGTTGGAATGCAGCTGAACTTTGCGAACGAAACTACCTTTGCCCAGCTTCACGCCAAAAGCTGTGCAGTTTGGGGTGATGCTGCATGGTGTGCAGATCGCACATGCCGGTTGAAAAGGCTCTGCCACTGGCTGCGGAGGCCAGCAATGCTGTGAAAGGCATCTTACCAGCAACCTATTGAAGCCTTCGAGAGGATATGGGGAGCGAGCCAGCATTGCACCGTTTAACAAACCACCAAGCAAGTCATCGGCTGCTTCGCATTTGCGATCGTGGTCCCTGTACATGACACCTTGACCCATCCAAGTGCCAATAGCACAGCTGAGCTGCCTTCTCTTTAAACTGATCGAGAGGGAAAGCAAACAATTACAGTAAAATGCTTTGAAAACACTCAAACTTGGAAGCTCGAGCACAATCAACAAAGGTTGACAATTCACTTCCACTCTTCCCTCTGCTCACACAGTGTGCCGCGATATTCGCAGCAGCATCTGCGCTGGTGAAGGGTCTAAAAACGATTGCAGTCAGTCTTATTAGGTTCCCTTTAGCCAGACCGGACCGTTTGTGCCATTTCTGGATTTGCAATGCAGCAAAACCAAGCTACTCCTGTGCGAAAAGACGGCCAGGCCTGCCTTCCAGCAAGGTCATCTGCATGGAATGGTCAAATGACGCCTAGTAGAAAAGGGTTTCTGCATTCTGGCTCCTGGCTATAGCGGCTTTGGCAAGTTTCAGACCGGAACGCGGGTCTCTGCCCAAGTTCTTGATACTCAAGAGTCTCGTGAGGAAACAGCCTGGGCTCCGCTCCATGCGTGCTGGCTAGCAACCTGCTGGCCAATCTTGACTGCCTGGTAGACTACACCTCACTGCAGCTGCAAAAGTCGGCACGATGCAGCTCGAGCTTCCAGGTTCATGACGTGTGCCGGATGAACCGGCGGACTGATGGAGCTGTGCCACCAGCCGTCTTCTGCCTATCTACAAAAGGACAGCACTACTTATAACACCCTCCAGACCAGTCGGACGATTGATTCTGACAGAGGGGTGACGACTTCACATTCAGTTCCTCAGGTGGGGATAATGGGAACAACTGCATCAGCTCCGTGCAACTTCCTCGGCGGGAGCAGGGGTTGCTGGTGCATGGAGGAATGAAGGAAGAGGACGAATCAAAAGACACTCGAACTCTTCGAATCAGGGGATGCGTAGCTCCGACGTCTAACGCTATCAGCTCCCCGCAGGCGACTCTTTCCGAGGGAGCTGCTGGTCCGCAGCGACGTTGTCCAGCGATAGCCGCCAGAGAATGTACATGATGATCACGAGCAACCTGGGCTTGCCAGGGCTGCAAAATGCGCAGGCCATGGAGTCCGATGGAGCCTTCTAACGCATTCCCTGCCAGGCAACAAGGTGACCACAGCACAAGCCGCGTAGGAGCTTGAAACAGCCTGTCACTGCTGAAGGCTTCCATCAGTGCGACATCCCATGATGTTGCACAAGCGCGGCTATGTTACAAGCAGGCCGGGGACACCTGCACGCCCCAGACGCCGCCATAGCACATGCCATCAATGACACCCTGCAGTGCACAATTTGCTTGCACCACCTATCCGCCGGGTCTGAATCTAACACAGCCAAGGCTCTTTGTAGGATTCTCCCATGAAACCACAAGTCACGCCATTTCCAATGGTCGTGATTTTGCTGAGGAAGTACTGGTCCTGAGCATCTCTCTCTGCATGCGCGGTGCTAACTCGTCATCTTGAACCGCTTCGACAAGTCAAGCCCGTACATCTCCCGGAAGTCGACGACAAGGCTCCAGGAGTGTCTTCAAATTGGTCTGGATCTTGGTGAACGACTGCGTCGTAGCCGTGTCCAGGCGGTTAAAGACCTCAGAGATTTGGTTGGGCACGTTCTTCATGTCAAGTTATGAGTGGAAGCCCAAACCCTCCGTTCGTCCTCTGTGCCAGAGTTTGCGCTGATTCCTTGAGGTCCGAAGAATATCTGGCCTTCTGCTCTTGCCGGTGTCTAGAACTGCTAGAACTGTTAAAGAACCACGAGGCCCAAATCAAGTGATAAAGAACATGCAAGGCCCGACTACGATCTCGCCTGTTGGTTGACCTTGACTTCTCTGATGAACATCAAGACGATTAAGCATACAATTCAGCGAAATTGGCATGTGGTCGAAACGGCCCTGCGCGGCAAATCAAACGATGCATTGAGCTTCCGAGTGCAGCCAAACCAGTTCCGAAGGAACTTTGTGGAGGGTCCTGGTTTTTAAACGTTAAAAGATGCGACGGAGAGTTCGACACTTGCAGGTGTTTCAGCATGTGCATGTGCCACAGTTTGATGCAGTTTTGGCACAAAGTGCCCCGATGAGCCTCTGGGTAGGCGAAACTAGTCGGCAGAAAACGGCATCGTTTCTGTGCTCCGCTCGCTCGAGTGTGTCCTCAACCGGTGCATCAGCCGATCAGCCTTTCAGCCGATCAGCCGATCGGCCAATCAACCCTAAACCCTACACCCCTAAACCCTAAACCCTAAATCCCTAAACCCTAAATCCCTAAACCCGACCAGCCGATCTGCCGATCGGCTGATGCGCAGTGTTTGGAAACCGACTGTGCGAGCACAATGCGATTGCGGTTTACGTACACTGGAAGAAAAGCATATCCCCCCAATCTCGCATCACACTTGCATCAATCGACCGCATGTTCCTCTTCCGTGTGCTGATACAACTATACACGATTGGGGAAGCATGATTTCTTGAGGAACAAAGTCTGCCGAATCGACACGATGCTCCTGAAGATGGCCTGTCTCGAGTAAGGAAAAAAGAGGAGTGGAGAAAGTATTGCGGGGTTACTAAAGCATCCGCAACTAAGAGTCGGCTGTTGGTCTTACGGCCTGGACCCCAGGCGGGGTTTACGCGAGGTACACTGCTCGGTATAAGTGTTGCACCATGTTACACCTCAGGTTTACTTGGGAAAACCGGCAAGTCTCTGTCTCTCTCTCTCTCTACCAGGCAAGAGGAGCAGAGCGGTCCAGCTTTACCCCACGCGCGCGAGGGCGCTCCTGCGGTTCGAGGAAGGAGCAGTCCCCCGTCCGGTTCACGGAAGGGAGCTCAGCTGTACGGTTTGGGAGCGGATAACCAGGTTTGTTTCCCCGGGGAATCAAATAAATCATAAACAGAAGGCAAACAAACTAAGCGCAGCACCATCTGGTTCATCCTTTCCCCCCAGCAAGGAAAGGACAGGTATGGTTAGAGGGGCGTTGAAAAGACACAAGGATCATGGGCGGTTTTGCCCCGGTCGGAATGAGTTTGCCTGAGAAGAGCCAGACGTATGGTTCGTTTAAAGATTTCGCTCCCCCGCCTCTGTCCAAATTACTCATTGTCAAGTTACTCAAGGTGGATCGAAACATGCACTCACGGAATGGATCAGATTGCCATTCGAAAAGAAATACATTAGAGGATTGAGCCCCTTCCAAACGCGGAGCGCAACAGCTAGGCTCACAAGCAAACATCCCCCTCTTTAAAGTACAGAAAGTTCATAAAACGGCTCTCCCCCTTTGTGCTGCGTAAGGAAGGTGATGTACGGGCAGGTGCCTGAGCTGTACATTGCTGAAGCAGAGGATTAGATGGACAAAATGTCCCCCGACTCACTTATGGCGCACTTCTGGTTCTGCCGGTTGTAGTCCCCCTTCTTCACGTCGTCTGGCCATATGCGCTTGCACTTGACGGATAGCGTTCTGCAAGGTTTGCTGACTCCCCCCAAGTGTACTGTGCTGTCTGGGAGCTGCTTTGGGCTCACTTGGGCGTCGGCCGAGGATGCCAACACTTTCCCCCCTGTCTCAGGGACGGCCTTTCTCCCCTCAGGGCCAGGAGAGAATGCTCCCCCGGTCGCTGCCAGCTGCTGTGTCTGTCGGCTCCAGGTTCTCCTCAACGTCTTGGGTATCATCCCCCCAGTCGGGGATGCTATCTTCGTCTTCATCACGATCCTTTGTCACACGCTGTTCTGGTTGTGCCTTCCCTTTCTTCGGAAGCTGCTCTGGCACCTGTGTCGTGCCCGCCTTTGTCGCAGGTCTCTTTCTTTTCCCCCGGCGTTGAGACTGTTCAGGTACTTCCGTTGTCACACGCTCGGCTCCTCCCCCCTGGCTCGAGGTTTGCTCCGGCATATTTGTCATGTCCCCCTTTAGCTTGGCTGTGATCCTTCTTCGGACCTTGCGTGCTCTCTTGAGGAGCTTGGCGGCTTTCTCGGGGAAGCGCATGACAAACACTCTGCTTTCATCCGCTATTCGAGGCATGTACTTGTCGGTGGCGGGTGAGCTTGTCCGCATAGTCCCCCAACTTGCAGCGGGCAACGTGCCTGACACGGTATCGCACGTAAGCTCTTTCCTGAGTCTTGTTGAGGATTTCCCCCGTGGGCTTTACATAGTTCCCCTTCAGCTCGTCATGTTGAATCTCCAAGTTAGCCCATTGATCCAAGCTCGGGTCTGGATCAAACTGAAAGTGTAGTCCCCCTTTCGTCCTGAAGAGGACTTTCTCCAGCTCGGGCTTCGCGGCAGTAGCGGCAGCGTTCGTGGTTCGCCCCGGTGCGGCATCATTCTGCCGTGGTCGGGCCGGGTTCGGGCCTGAAGCTTGCCCGGTCACCCCATGTAGACGGCACTGTGGGTCGGAACTCTCGTGGCTTTTCCGAAAGCCAGTTTGGCACATCCCCTCAGCATAGCGGCACAACTTGCAAACTTTTTCTCCCCTCCCAGCCATGTTGCACGTAGGTGTTCTTTGCTATCTCGCGCTTCTTGACCCAAGTCACGATCTGGTAGGCGATGGGCTCCCTCACCCGGTGCGGTAGTTCCCCCGAATCGCTGTGGCAATCAAGGAGAGGTGGCGGAAGGCGAAGTAGGGTTCGAGTTCCCCCTCAGCAATGTCCAAGTTGAAGGCCTTGCACTAACTCGGCCCCCCTCAAGGTTGTAGTGCAACACTCTTGCCCTCCTGGAGTATTGCACGGAGTCCTAACGAAGGCGATACGGGGCCACTGAAGCAGAAATGCGTCGGATATGTTTGCTGAGGCAAACAGAAGGGCTCCCCCAGGGCAAGCCCCAGGTCAACCCTCTGTCTCCCCCCCGATGCAAGGAGGTGGAACAGACCCCCAAGCAAAGGTGCAGCACTTGAGCCAAAATCTGTCTCTCTCTCTCTCTCTCTCTCTCTCTCTCGACTCTCTGTCTTTCTTGCTCTCCATTGCTTGAGGAGCCTCGCAAACCGGTATGCGTGCTGCTGCCTGCGGAAAGAGCTGGAACAGCAACACACACTTGGACACTGCTGGAGATGAATGTCGAGATGCGAGGTCTTTCATTCCTTTGTGTATATATATATATATTATATCAGTTTACACGATCTCCACCACTCGCACACCTC